ATCATCATATAAGATTATGAGAGACGCCGTAGTGGAGGGCTCCGGAAATTCGACCCCCTGGGGTTCTTTAACGTGCACCCAAATTTGAGCACACTTGCCTACAGCATTTCTGCCTCCATCGGAAATGTTATGTGCTCTTGTTCATATTTAGTAGGCTGTTCATACTTTGGCTGTTTTTCAAGGCTTGCTCATGTTAGCTTCATGTTTTCAAAGAGAGCGCTTTTTAACATTCTGTCTTTGTCATATATATGTCTATTTTTCACAATAAAAATTTTAATTGGAAGTCAGTGCTCATCTACATTGGCCTGTCTGTCTCTTGTTTTCGTATGCGCTGCAGTCACATTTTAAGGCTGAGGAACTGGCTGTGCCTCTGCACTATGAATCGGATAATGGAGAGGAGAGGAGTGGAGAACTGCCCTTATGTTGCCTGGCCTGGCTGCGCGACCACCACAATAGCAAGGAAAATTAAAAGCATTCAGATCTGCTGACAACGTTTGTTGACTTGCGAAAGTTTTACGAAACCAAGTTCACTCACTCACTTACTCATGACAATTCTGCTTTGTCACACTAGCTTAAGCTTAACGAGATTCTGAGAAAGGGGCCGTGCAACACAATCATCAAAGGGCTTCTTTAAAAGAGCTTATTGCCTCACAAATTGAAAGGTGCACACATTTTTAGAATATGTCAAGTACAAGCACAGTTACAGGAATTTGTTGCATGCTGCAAGCGAAGCACTTTCTCCTTTCGTATTAGCGAGTACGCTGAAAGCTACGCAAGCAGAAGGATGACAAGGGGCGAGATTATGCTTTCATTCATCAGCATGTGTCATGATTTTAAGCAGACACTCACCCCCCCCCCCCCCCCCCCATCGAACGCGTGCCTCACTTTCAGTGTGCTTGCAATCCTGGGCACGTAGCTGCACCCTGCGTTGACCGCGGTGACAGTGCAGCTGATAATGACCAAATCAGCCAGTGGCTGTGAACTTTGGGTTTATGGCATCATTTGTCTAAGGGAACGATTTCTAGCTTACTGAGAATTAATTGTAAATTCCTGGTGTTTGGCTAGCGTGTTCTCGGGAGCCTCGGCTGCCGATCGGCAGCATTTTTTGACCATGCTAAAAAGGTGTTGCTGAACCCCTATAAGCTGGCTTTATAAACTACTGTGTCTGAATTAAAAAATAATAATAATAGCAATAGTTTTGATGTCATGAACAGATTTTGTGTGACTGAAGTTTATAAATTGCTTTGTACAAGCATTTACACAAAATTACACATAAGAAACAGTGTACGGAAAAGCCACTGAATATGCATTGTGCTTGTAGTGCAAGTATACTGGGGATGGTAGATAACAATGTGCAACTATTTTGATCAAAAAACTTGCTATGCCAGGTATTATGCATGATGCATAGATTGCTGCTGACAGGACCTATTGGACAGAAGCTGCGCTTTGACTCGTACAAGAATTCACAGAAAAATGAAATAACTGAAAGAAGACTAACCAGCCTCACTATGTCAATCGGCATGTCAGTTTCATGACAGCGAACAGTGAAGCACTAAGAGACTGCATCTGCGACAATTTAATGTTCATTTTCTCTCTTTGTCTCTCTCTTTTATGCTGCATCAGAAGATGCGTCAATTCAGAAAGAACCACGCAGAGTACCTTCAAATAATGGGCTGGTAGGGGAACTGAACCAGCATTGAGCACTTTGAAAAAAACCTGACTGGGTTGGTGAAAAACTGGCCAGGCACATTTCATTATTTTTTTACATTTCATACTGTCACTTTTCGTTTTAATTACATAGCCCTGTACCATTCTGTAATTGCTAAAAATGGGTTACATATGTACCATTCATGTTTGTGGCCCTTTCAGAACAGCGGTATCCAAATGGAAAATTTACTTATGAACAACTTATGGGCACCTTGATGATAGTATAACTGATGAACTATCATGGGGTCAGGGACATATTAGCTCTGCTGTTATCGAATCTAGGACTGTCAGAAGATATGGCTGCAGCTGCATTCAAGACAATCAAGACAAGAACATTGCGATATAAATGAGCATTTTATCAACCTTTTTAGCCTCAACACATATATATTCCTTCTTTTCAAGAACTATTACCAAATGGAACGTTCAACTACTGAATTATTCTCTCTTCTCTAATGCTCGACTGGTGATACTTATGTTCATATTGTACTAAATTTGTCTTGTTTTCTGCAGTTCATAAATTTTTCTTTTATGCTCATAAACTCATCTCTTGGGAAGTTGAGAAGATTTTCGTGCATGTTCATTGTTATGTACAGTTGTGTAACCAACCTTGTTTTTGATGGATCTTTCCGGCAACTATTCTTTGTACTGGAATGAAGTGCTGAGCGCTTTATTCGAGTGTTATGAAACCTCATTGTTAAAATAGCACCTTCCGTCACACACATATTAGCGTTGCAGTCATCATCTGCCTTCAGTGGACAGAAAGAATGCTGCCACCCTACTACCCTTTCTGTTATGTTGTGCCGGTAAATAGGTACGTATTCTTGCTCACTAGACACTTCATAGCAATCATATTTTAATGTTCCTCCAAATCCCAATTTCACTCTATGTTGCTAGCTGATATGTCATAATCATCATTGCCAGAATAAGCCATTATTCGATGTCAATCGTAGTATGAAGGCCTCTTCCAATGATTTTCTACTTAATTTGTTTTTCGCATGCCAATTTGATTTTATTCCGTAAAATATGCTCATGTGTATGTGCAATGAAGTTGCCACATCTGTCTGGAGGTATGGAATCAAACCCCAGTTCTAAGGAGGGTGCCAGCCAAAAATATCTCCATCCTTGTATCTAAGGATATTATTTTGTCAGGGGGGTCTGGCAGATATTTTCGGGAGTGTTTACAGGTGCATGTACAATACAAAATAAAATTTCAGGGGGAGAACTGAACACCCCTAACCACCCTTGCTGTGCTTACATTCTCTGCGATAGCTTTCCTATCAGCTGAATTGGGTGCTTGCCATGCTGAGCTGGTAAATTTGCTCACTTTGTAAGAACTAACCAACAGTAACAGGAACAAAAATAATTCAATTTGGTTATCCATCTTACTACCATTGAGTCTAACAGCATACCTTTTGACAAACCCTAAAATTTTGCAGAATCTTGAAAGAATTATTAACGAAGTCATGAAAGATCAAGCGTCTACTTAAATGACCCATCCAAAATGTGGGCACAGTCTGCATCACATTCTATCTAGAACTTCGGAACTTAGTTTGTCTGATTGAAATATCTCCCATGCTTACATAATAGGTCAGTGCAGTACAAAAAGAAAAGAAAAAAGATTGAACAATATAATTTCTCAGCATTTTAAATCCATGACACAAGTTTATAATTAAAAAAAATTTTTTTACACAACACATCAATTGCACGAAGGACTTGAATTTATGAAGGCTAGCAGGCAACAATTGAAGCTGCACTTCAATAAAATTCTACATTAACAGGAAGTGCTTTTCATACTGTCATGTTGCATGCCAAGTCCATAAATTAATTGTAATTAATTATAAGCCCATATAGTAACTAGCACATCCTGTAAGGCCATAAAATGTGCCATTTGTTTACATTTTATTTTTTAAATATTAAACTCGTTTTTAACAATCTGCCAGCATAGCTGCAAGATTTTTTTTTTATTTCACTGCTTCTGGCTTGTACGAATTATTTTCTTAATACTGACAATTCATAATGAACTAATTTTAGTATATAGATTCTACATACAGCAGTCTATCAGTAAAAGGAAATTTAATAATCGAAACTGCTGCCTAAACAGGTGCTGACACAAAAGTTTTCAGTTGTTTTCCTGTGACAGAGAAAAGGTCAAGCCTTTGAAAGCCTAGAAAATGTACTGCTAACCGAAAGTTCACCCTAAATTTAAATGAAACAATTGCCTCCAGCATAATTGGTTTTATACTTGGATTCTCCACCCTTGTTCGTCCTTCAGTAAACAGAACTCTTGTTAAACAGAACACATTTTCTTGGTTTTTTCAGGTTCCGTTTAAGACAAGTCTGCTGTACTAAAATTTTATGAAGACTTTGTTAAGTCGCCACAAATTGCTGTTCTTCACCTTGATACCAATGGCTTGTAGCACTGGATTGAATGCTTCCTTTCTCATCTTTTCCAATTTTATTTGCAGAGTTCAGTTTTATTTCACTTTACCATGGCAAACTAACTTAGTAAATAAAAAGATATATGTAAAGTCTTCAGTGTACTTAAAAGAGCACTGATACAAGTATTTTGCACTTTTTTCTTTTTTTTTGCGATAGGTAGATTATGGTTCCCTTATCACGGCTGGAAACTTCATTTGCACGTGTGTGCAATGGTCATTTATTTAGGGACGTACTTAGAGTTGCCAGCCGCAGTATCGTTTTCAAAGGGCTCCGAGCCGGGCAGTAGTAGTTCCATTTGCAAGGTAAACACAACTGGCCACATGGCCGCCCTAAATTGTGACATGGGCGCCGCACCAAAGTCGCAGACACGGAAAGAAAAATCGTTGGTAGCACAAGCACAAGGTGCGTGCCAAGCAAACAGCTAACACAAACTTCTGACACAAGTTTGCTTACACTCCTGCCGCATTAATATCAGTTAATATCAGTGTTTGGAGGGGCTTCCCACCTCACTCAGTTGCACGGCATATACTTGAAAATTGATTTTAAATATGTTCTAGGCTATATTTGCCCTTAATATTTCATAGATGTTTATATCTCTAGAAAAATAAGTTTCTCTCATTATCTTGCCTTCGAAATTTTGTGTCAGTGCTTCTTTATTGATCACGTGTTCATAACTCCAGATCGAAGAAATGTTTCATGTTGTGCTCGGTTGTTCTTGCCATGCCATGCCATGTCAGGGTTTCTTTTCAGGTAGTTCACATCTACAAAGCTTTTGCACCTGCAGTATATAGACAACAGCTGGTGGTGAATTGAGATCACCTCAGTTAGAAAAGCTAAGCAGCAATGACACGATATATTCAAAGAACTGTCTTTATTGTGCATGTTTCTGTTGAACAATATGAAAATGACCAACCAGACATCTTTATGAACACAAATTTTTTTTTTCTGGCATTGGCAATGAAGGGAATTGGGCATACGCATTATTTGGCAGGATTGCATGTACATGCACTGCTAAGTTTCCACCTTGTTCTGAATGCTCTTGCACTCTTGGACTTTGTACATATGTATACATCTTATATATATAATATATATATATATATATATTTGCATAGTCCCACATCACATATTGTACAGTGCATTCGATGTTCCTCATGCCCAGCCTGCTTTTCACACTGCGGAAAAACACTTTCAGCATTTTCAATGAGTGGTAACAAACTCTCTGGATTAGAATGAGCTTTACGATGAGCCAAATGCATACATTAAGGCAGAGGCACTGCAAGGAAAAAAAACTATTTACAAGTACACATAAGACTACATTATTTGCCGAGTTTCCTGCTGCATCCTAAAAATAAGTGCAGCCTCTCACAAGCCTACAGAGCAATCAGCGTTGCCAGTTAGTAGTGAGAATTGTAGCGTCAAGAGTGCAAAAATCTTTTGGCCCCATCTTGTGAAATAACTATGCGGCACTGATAAACAAAATTGGAGTACTTAATCTGACAAAACTGTAGTATACCGGCAGGTCTCCGGGATTGAGCAAGATTCAGCACATGCAGAAGATACTTAAAAGGCTGGAAGAGACATTTCTTTTTTTAACGATTCTCGGTACGTTTAAGTGTCTGCTACACTTGTGTGTGCGCTGACCAGGGTGAGCTGTTAAAAGTTTGAATACTGATTCACTGCTTATTGTTAGTCACAAAGAGTAGCTGAAATGCTGTAACCAGTTATTATCACAATCTTATTTACAAATAATAACAATAAAACGAAAAAAAAAAACCTAAGCTACACTTTTGTCAATACAGCACATTCTTACAATCTTGAGTAACTGTGAGCAAATTGGCATATGCTTGCCAGAGCAAGTACAATATGAATGTATGTAAAACCAATGTTTACTTAAAAGTATGCTTAATACTTTTTGTCCTAAAGTCTCCAGTTGAAATCTGCAATGTCACAGATGGGTTTTATTTTAACACGGTAGCTGCCACTTCACAAAATGCAGAGCTTTTATTTTTTTCTGACTTTTAGATTTTCCAGAGTTTGATTATGTGACAGCACTGGACTTAGATAACAGAGCTGAAGTTGTTAAAAAAAGAACTATACATAAGGGGAAAAAAACGCCTAGCCATTTGAACCTAGATTATGTTTTGAAACCAACTGTCATCTGATGGACAATTATCTGCTACTTTGCCAATGGTCAGTGTACTCATATCTGTTAATAAAGTGAAGAATATAGATGGGTGTACCAAATGCATTACAGCTGAATTAAAATAACAAAAACGACATAGCTGTGACTTCGGCAGTCAGAAGTGTGCCTGATTATCATGCTCTGGAAAGCAAAGATGAATGTTCCTAGAAGCCATGCTCAGTGAAAAGTGGAAGCTTTAAAGGGACCGCAAGACTCCACCACTATTAGCCACGGTACTCTTTTCTATTTAGGTATTGTACAAAAGCAGCACTTTTGAACATTCTTTGCACAGACTATTGTGTACAACATTAAAAGACAGTGCCAAACCTGTCTGAGAGTTGAAGCAAATCTTGAGTAGTTCAGTAGTAGTTCAAGAGACAAGCAGATGTGAAATGAGAGCACACAGCATGCAACATGGGAAATTCCTTCAGAAAGGGCTTAATATTGGCCACCACCACGAGCTACATATAACTCATTTTAAGGACTTTTTGTTAAATCATCAGTAATGTAAAAAATATTGATAGAACTGAAGAATTGGGAGGATTTTTCAAGGTTTCTGCATAATAAAAAATTAACAATATTGATGGGGTGAGCTTATGAGGCATTATAAGACCAGCATTGCTTTATACATGGGTAAAGGTAACTTTAACGAGTGTTTTTCTTTCTTTTTTTTCTACGAGGAAAGGAAATGTTTGCTCAAACAAGGATACTGCAATGTATCTGTGGAATGACAGAGAAAGCAAAGTGACTTATATCCGAGTATTGTTAATAAAGCAGCAGGCTAGAGGAATAGAGCAGCAAGGGAGCGTTAAAAGTTGTAGCAATCTCATAAGAAGGGTGATTAAAAGAGTTTGGCTGTTTAGTGAGCTAAAGTTAAATTGGCAAGAATGTCAGAAAGGTCAACTCTGGTGGCAAAATATTATTGATGAGCCCTGAAAGACTAAGAAGCTGGTGTAAAAGTAGATGACTGGTAGGACAAACTCTAGTAAAGCATGGACAGGCCTTTTAAAGATGAAACAGTTGGGCAAAGCATCAGAACAGATTTATCATAAATAATGCTTTATGCTGCTAGACAGAAACCTGCCTATGAGCTTTACTCCTAAGCAATAATCCATTGGTATAAAAATAACATTCTGGTCTCAAATTGAGCCGTTTCATGGAACACTTAGAACTTGAGTGCATGATCGCAACACATATGTTGGAGGCTGACTATATTAAAATGTACTGGGACAGAGCTACCTCATGTCCATGGCACTCGCTGCCTGAAGCCTGCTTTTGACTTTTATTAAATCAATCACCAAGCAAGAGCATTCCTCCAACATATGGAGTGACACCACTGGGCATTTCTATACATAGCGAATCTATAAACCTACAAAAATAAAAAAATAAAACATGTGTACATAAAATCTTTGTGAGTGTCTACATGTAGTCCATCACAAAGATAATCAGCGAATCAGTCTTTCACTGAAGAGCACAACACACACTGTTCTTGGGAAGCTCAGTAGAGTAGTCCACCTCCCAGAATATATATATATATTGTTTCTTTCAGTCTGCACTGCACAATGGCTTAGATAAATACAGAGTCAGTGTGAGTAAGTCCTGGCTGCTGCATCGTCTGCTGCTTCGAGTCAGCTGATCCACCCAGTGCTTGTCCCAAAGGACTGGAAATGCCTTCTGACCAGTCGGACTGTGCTGAATGGGGAGAAGAACTGGACCACTGTCCTGGCGACTCTGGTGATGGCGTCAGGTAGGTCTCGCCCGGATGAAGATAGTGCTGAGGTGTGACCTCAGCCCCACTGCCATGGCTGTGTTGAGATGGAGGTGTAGGGTAGTGGTAGTAGGCGGGCTGTACTGGGTAGTCATATGTTGGGCCCCCTTGCTGCAACTTGTGCTGATGTGCAGCTCGCATGGCAGCCATATGAGTAGGCGATGTTGGAAGTGAGGGTCTCTGCTTGGCAGGTGAAGAGGCCATGCCATAGCTGCTCATACTGGAAGGAACAGAGGTCTGGCGTTGATGCTGCTGCTGCTGCTGTTGCTGCTGCTGCTGTTGCTGCTGCTGTTGCTGCTGCTGCTGTTGCTGCTGCTGTTGCTTCTGCTGCTGCTGCTGCTGCTGCTGCTGCTGTGAAATGGCAGCAGGACCTGTGTTAGCATAGGCTTGCAGATCGTACACTCCAGCATAGACAGGCCCCACACAATCCTCATAGCACGGTGGTTGCTTAGTAAAACTTGCCACCGCCTCTTGTGGCATAAACAGGGGTCCCCCTGGTGACTCATGAGGTGAGTCAAGCGAGTGTGCAACGTCTGGTAGTGGTGGTGGATCTCTAGACTTTTTAATAGATGGTGTCCTCCTCTTCAGAATAGTAACTGCAGCAGCATCAGTTTTTGGTGATGTTGCTGACATGTCAAGCTGCTGCAGGGCACTGTTTGCACCATTCTTGACCAGTGGCTGTCGTCGCTTGCCCTTGGCAGATTTAGTAGACCCAATGACTGTTGGGCTTGACAGGAGCATTGGTGGGCTGGACAGCCCTGAAATATGGGGGCTTGGCACATACTTGTCCAACAGTTCGACGATATCAAGGTGCATGCGATCACGAGCAACATCACGTGGCCGCCTGTCCATGTGATTGGTGATGTCTCGATTAGCTGCATGGTCAAGCAATGCCTGCACCGCTTGCAAGCTTCCTTCACGTGCCGCAAGAAACAGAGGGGTCTCTTCATGCACATCTTGAGCATCACGATTGGCACCATGAGCCAAAAGCATACGCACTGAAGCAACATCATTGACAGCAGCCGCCCAGTGAAGTGGTGTACGCGAGTCAGAGTCTGCAGCATTGACATCTGCTTCTGCATTGATGAGGTCTTCGGCCATACCCTCCATAGCAAGGCGAATTGAAAGGATGAGTGGAGTCATCCCGTTGTTCATCTTGGCATTTAAATTTGTGGCACGACTTCGCAGAAGGATCTGCTGGTAAAGAAAAAGGGAAAGACAAATATATATAAGGCAAGTTTCACCAACCTTATGCCAACTACCACTTTTGAGTCTGTCTCAGTGTAACTATGTATTTCCTGTTGCCAAGCATGAGGATGACAACCACTAGTATATCTTGCTCACAAAGAGCACCATGTGACAATATAATTCACATCTGTAATAACATTTTGATCAAGTATCCTGCATTAAAAATTGGACCAAAAGAACAGAACTGTGTTGTGTCAAAAAATGGTTACCTGAAACACTCCTACAGCATCCGCTGCTATAGCTGCGTGAAGTGGTGTCCTCCCAGAGCTGTCCTGTGCATTGGCATCAGCTCCAGCATCAAGAAGTCGTTTAGCAGCATCAGCCCGGGCATAGCGAGCAGCAAGGTGCAATGATGTTTCGCCAGTCTTCTCAGTAGTGCTGCCAAGCTGGGCACCTTGCATTAGCAGGTCTTGAATCATGCTAGCAGATCCAGTGTCCTCTTCTCCGGGCTCCTCCCCAGTATCCACACCACCACCACGAAATGATGCAAGCATCAAAGGTGTCAGACCACCTGCAAGCGGCACAATTCGTGTCAACTCATCTTAAACGAAGCTCTAAATTTCATAATGTGCACACATGTCATGCAGTTATTATTATTATTATTAGTGTGCAGTAATATTTGTGTGAAAAGCATGACAACAATGATTATGGGAGAGGATTAGGAGATGAATGAAATAGGTATCTTGCAGTTTTTTTTTTCCCAACATAATTACTAACACTTTAGAAATACTCTCTTGTCACTTTGGCAGTTTATCATGTAGTAATACAACTTTCATATAGAAATATTCTACAACTATCAAATCATCCACTGAGCTCAATTATGATGCCTTTCACTCTATCACAAATCTCCACTGACGCCAACAGGGATGTAGTGAATGAATGTTTGAAACATTGCACAGATTCTCGAGTGTAATTAGAAGATATTGTGAACTTTTGTGATGTATTAACCCTTGGGATGTTAACTGTTAAACACAAACTGAAAGGCTTGCAAATTTCAGATCCTGTTATACAAACATTATAGGCAAACTTTGTTCGCACTGCTAAAATATACTGAGAACCTCAAGTCTTGTCAATGATAATTAGGTATGCTTGCTCGTGACCATGTGACATAGTTTTCTTAAAAGACTCCTGACAGCAAAAGTTTTGTTTGTGACTTTTTTGCAGTGATTTGTATCTTTGTGTATGGCAATGCCGAAATTGAATCGTAAATGCTCCAACACATTGTATAATTTATGCTAACATCGTTAATTTTGTAGGATTTTGTGTCAGTGCAAAACGCCCGCCTAAATACTTTAAAAAACTAGCGCCCCAGAGAGAGACAGTGCCCGAGACTACGTGCCCTCAAGCTTCGGTTACGCTGAACGCCCTGTTTTCAAATAATGGGACCTGCGAGTGGTAAAGGTCCTCGCTTCTGTGGCATATACAGAATTCACGACGTACATAAAAATATGCATCACAGTTGCATTTTATATAATTTAACTGCAAAAATCATAGAAAGGTCACTATTTAAAGCTGGAAAATGAAAATAATTTTCGTTTTGGTCAGCAGCTTCATAATTCAGGATTTGAAGGGTAAAATGAAACACATTTTTTTGGACCCTTCGGAACGGTTCTGTTTAACAAGAGTCTACTGTACAATGTGAACCTTTTCTTGCAACACGAGTTGATAAGCTGCTCCAAGTCATATTCATGAGAGCTTCTATAACTGAAATAAAACTTAGGGTCACCTTGAGTTCTGAGTTATCAAGAGCCCCATGCATGTCTGCAACTTCTAAGAGGTCAGAAACATCAACCATTCATCAACGTATGATTCACATTTTTTATGCGCCCGTGGTGTCTGTATCTTTTTGTCCATGTGTATGTTGTACACAAAAAAAGCCATGTATGTAATACATTTGATCTATTTTATAACCTCTCTATTGGTGTTTCCAGCTGAGCCAGCATTGCATGTTTATTTTACTGCATGACATGAATATTGCAATCAATGTACGCACATTTTTTCTGGAAAAATCGGAGCAAAGTTGTGGATGTCCTTATTATGCGGGGCAAATTTTATGAAAACTTTTCTGCCATAAGCGGAAAATGCAGAAATAAAAAAAAAGTTAGGTCCCTCAGCCTTTCGCTGTTTGCATACGCTGAGAGTGTTTTGAAACAGCTTCTTTGCTGCACTTCACTCATCTTTGGTGGTTGACGGCACTATCTTCAGCAAGCTGCCCCCCACCCACCCACCTACTCCGCACGCCATAAAAGCGTTTTGTGGCTATTTTTTCTCGCAATCGTCTGACCACAACTATAGGCACTATATCGCAACAGTGGTATCTGCTGTAATCTCGAGGGGCGCCCAGAAGCGTGTGCTACGACGCACTTTGCCAACTTTGCGGCTACCCTTCACAAAGACCGCAACGACGCCATTGACATTGCATCAAGTAACCAATATTGCAGAAAGCGACCACCGAAGCATTAAAACAAGCCATCGATAACAAGATTGATGACAAAATACGGCCACCGCCTCGCTATCCACATGAGAAGTTACTGTAGAAAAGGTAGCCTATATCTTGCATTCCTTGAAGTACGCACGGATAACTACATAGCATGAAGAGCAAATTGTTGTGGAAATAGTCAAGATCTTTTCTGGGGGACAAGAAATTTTCTTCTAGTTTTCCAAAAACCTGTGATGCGATGGCGACGAATGGCCCTTCGCGACAGCCATGACGACAGGAAATCCTGTCGACGTTGCTCGAAAGTTGCGTGCATGTGCTTGAGCCTTAAAGTTTCGTATTTGCAGGAAGCGAGCGTCGGTTGGCACGGGCAGTTTTGTGACCTTCGCTCGCTGTGTGCGGGTCAGCTGCGATGTCTCTACAATCGCACAGTTCGTGAACACCATTATGGTGCATAGATAATTAAAAAAGACTGGGGACGTGCTGCACACAGCTAGGAGAATAATACTGTGCAGGACAGAGGGTGAAGGGAGGAGGAAGCGAGTCGAGGTGGCCGAGGGGGTCGGCATAATAATAAAAGGCAGGAGAGATCTAACAGGCTAGGAGGGGCCAGGTGTTGGTTAGCGTGACTGCAGCGGATGAAGGTAAGGGATGCATTTATTACTCAGTGGAAAAAAAAATCCAAATTTTGACGACTAAAGTTCAGGGTGTGCTTATTATGCGAGTGTGTTCGTTGTGAAAGTAAATACGGTAGTACCAATGGTAGCCTCGGCACCACAAGAAAGAAAAAAATTGTCACGTGATAAGGAAAAGAGGAAGACATGAGCTTTCCTTATCGTAGATCATCCTTTATGCTAGCTTTCAACAGCACTTTCACATATGCGTCCCATCACTGGCAGTCCACTATTTTACAATGAAAGGCACAATTAGGCTCACACATAATTATTGAGAATATGAGTCCCATAACTGGCAGTCCACTATTTTGCAACCAAAGGCACAATTAGGCTCACATATATTTACTGAGAATGTGCAGGATTGAAAAGCAATGGTCTGGAGAATACCTAAAACAGAGCTGCTCAACTACTGCTTACAAACCAATGCTGTAATGTTTTTTTCTTTTTTTTTAAGTTTTCAAAACACTTTGTTTTCTTATTCTGTTCATGAGGTTTGAGCTTAGTACTGTCTCAATAAAGAGGAGCTTTGAAGCATACACACCTGGTCCTCTTACGTCAACATTATGGTCAAGATCACTTCCTTGTGGTGGGGTGAGTGCCTGCAGCACTTCAGGCAGACGGACGTCGGCAGCATCCAAATGTTGCTGGGTCCATGGTCGTGGGTCCCGTTCATCTTCATAGTCTGAGACAACTGTATCCCCACATCCCGAGTCTGGTGAGCTGCGTGCACGCTTCGCTGGAGGTCGCTCCCCCTCATCATCACTCCATGCCTCTGGTGATCCATCACCGTTTGCTTGAGCAACTCTGCAATGTAGTGTGAATAAGTTGTGAATGTGAAAGCAGTAGCACTTCTGCAATTTACCAGTGAAAAGTTACCAACTAGTCAGTCTTACCACTAGCATCTATTAAGCAGCTACGATTAATAGCCCAATTTCAGCATCCTCGAGAATTCAAAGACAAGACTAACAGGCAGCTGAGCTAGCTGGAACGTATTCATTCGAAAACAGTGAGCATGCAAACACGAATACAAGAGAATCGTTGAATGAAGAAACGCGTCTAATGATTGAGGCATGGTGGCGTGTCAGTAATAGTGGTAGCACATGCGTGAACCAAACATTGATTAACTTGCAAAAAGAAGAAGTCAAATGCTTTAGCAGGTTATCTCTCACTATGACCCCAACGTGTGCTGGATAAATATACATAGACTATTGCCTGAAAATGTGCAGACAAGTTTTCATGCCTACTTTCTTTTCTACTATGTGCCTTCTCAGTTGTTAGTCAGCATTCGTGGTATCGACTTTTAGCATAAATTAGAGGACAGTTTAGCAGAATCAGTGAATACAAAAATAAACATTAACTCATAGGGAGTTTAACATGAACAGCACCGATAAGAACGCATAGAATATATGGCACAATATGTCTAAAACCAATCAGCATCTTGCATCAATCAGCATCTTGCTAGTAAACAACCTCACATGCATGAGCAGGCATACATACATGCATGCAAACACACAAGCAGCCATTTCTCTGCAGGCTTGAGGATTAAAGGGTCTGACGACCATCCAAAACGTGCAAGTGAAAAAACTGAATTATGATGACAGAATCGAGCATTCTGTGAAAAGCCACAAACATCGCGTTGCCTGGTGACAAGCCTTGGTACTGCACCATAATGAGTTTTTCTCATTGCTGTATGTAGTCTCCTGTTGTGTAAGTTTACCACATTTCACGAATAAAATGAGTAACTTTTAAAATTAAATTAGGCATGCCTACTTTACCCTATGTTTATTACAAAGTAAGGGAAGTTTACTCTGAGAAGCGGGGCTGACTTCGAGGCAACAAGTGGAATCATGTTGAATTGTGGCATATTCGCAGTGAACTGCAGCGTAAAAACCACAGCATATTAAAAGGAACAGCTATCATGTTCACCTACGACTGTTTGGAGCATATATTGTGTGCACAACTTTGTGGGTGCTGTAAATCGAAACAGTCTGATAAAAAGTGTTTCACAATGTTTTTTGCATTACCACTCTATGATTAGGCAGAAGTTTAGAATAGGTAAAAATTCAATAGGTAAAATTCAATAGGTACTTCAATAGGTAAAAATTTGTGAACACGGGGCTTGAGCTCCAGTGACACCCCATGTTCCAATTTTTCATCACTCCATAATTAGACACTTTGAGTGGTAAGGTTTCTGTTGCACTAAAGAAAGCAGAAAATTGTACGTCAATTTCTTTAAACTTGTGACTTGCCTCATTTCCTGTCCATCGGGACCCTTACGTCTCGAGCGGCGTCTCTGGCCATTGCTCGTGCTCAGAAATCCCTCTGGAAACCATGTGATGCCTCGAGCACGTTTCTTCTGGGTGGTGAAGAGGACACCAATAAAAAGTCCAGCTAATAGTACACCGATAAGACCGATGACAATGTTCAGTGCACTAGTACGGCTGCCTTCGCCTCCACCACCGCCCTCCTCGCTACCAGAGCCAAGTACTTCTTGAATATGAAAAGGTGTTTCCAAGGCATGTCTGGCCTGTGCTGCTGCCAAAAATTCAGCTGCCTTGGCAGCAGACTGAAAGCATTCACTTCCCTGGGACTTGAGGCAGCGGCGATTGTCAATTTCAAGGTGCACAAGCGTTCTGAAAAACCAGATAAAACTTGGCTCAGCATTTGTGCATTAACATTCCAGTGGTGGCAGAAACATCACAGGTCATCAATGCTTACCCAGTGCGTGGTACTGGAAGGACAGAGTGGTTGGGCATCTGACCTTCAGTTGCTTTCCATGGGTAAATCATAGCCTGACCGTTAGGGTCCTTTTTGAAGAGTACATTCGTGCGCAGTGCATGCCCAATGTCACGAAGGAATGCGACAGTGTTGTTCTTGAAAACCTATAAGATGAAATGCAACTGTGTGGTAATGACCTCACTGAAGCTATGAGGATGCTTTAGAATTTTAGAACTAGTGTTCATTTTCACATTTACAGCAGTAGTGGTTGATGAGTTTTCCCCCAAAATTGAAATGATGTTATTTCGAGACTGTGCCAGTATCACCAAATGCATGAAAAAGACCTTCCTAACATAAACCTAGACAGTACACATGGGTGCACACAATCCTGGTTAATGGGAACATGTCACTACATTAACAGTGCTTTGCAGAGTTTAACTGTTAAGTCCTGGTATCACCCCAGTTTGCTACAAAATTATTAAGCATACACAAAACCCTGATGAAGCTCCACCTCAGTTGTTGCTGTGAGTGCATTGCGGTTTGATAAATATATCTGAAGAAGCCTGCTTCTTTGGTTTCACATTTTGCTCTGACAGATAGCTCATTTAACTGTCTTTTTTGAAGGAGAGATGTGAATCGGAAAACACAATTTGTTTCCAAAATTACATATTTTCATTTTTATTTGCTTTCACAAGTATAGTTTCTCTACTTTCAAGACAAAAAACTGAAGATTTCAAGTAAACTCGAAGTGCCATTAAAATCAATTTTAAAGAGCACAATGTGGCTACTAAAAGCTAGAAGAAGCTAAGTTTCTGAAGCGCCCTGGAAATTGTCACCTTACTTGCCAATGCATTTCACATGCATTGCCAAGGTATCATGATAGAAGAAATCACATTAAAAACATACCTTTTCTGCATATATGACCTTTCACTTATGCGTTTAAAATGCAATTTTCTCAAGACCCATTTTAGGGCAACTTCTTGAGTTTACACTTTATGTTTTTGGTAGTTATGATAGCCTGATCGAATTGAATTTTTGCCCACCTATTCCTTACCTTTTGAAGGATGCAAGTATATTTTTTAAATCTTGATAGCACCTGTATAATTATTGCAAACCTAAAATGAACAGTTAGTAGGGGCTGAGGATTCTAAGCATTTTCAAATTACAATTTTTATTGTCCAATAAAATGTCTTATACACACTCTCTTGACTATTATTTGCATTCTACAGTTAATGTACAGAATGAGTGAGAACTGTAAATGTTTTGTGGCACAAAAAACTTGTTCAAAACTAACTAGTATACATTACACAATGTCATGACACAAAGCTAAACAGCAAAGTGAACTATAAAACTAATTATATAATTGAAATCAGCATAAAATCCAATATATACAGCGAAAATTTTCTTGCCCTGGGCTATAGAATACTTCCAACTTTTTTTCCGAATGGCATCTCCCCTTAATATGTTATATATGTTACATGTAATTTACTATGCTACTAAATATTGTGCAATAAAAACAAGGAACAAACCTCTGGTTCAATAGAAAGCATGATGACAATGGAACCTTCAGCAAGGTATGGGGGTCCTTTTTCACAGTCTAAGCCATCCCAGTTGCATTCTTCGTTGTTGCAGCCTTGATCACAATATCCATTACCATAGTTCCTCATGCAGTAAGTGTCATAGTGTTCACTACAAAACAAACAATAATACAACACTGTCAGTCATATGTTAACTTTGCTAAGACTGCTATAAGACACAAGTATTTTAAATTTTCACTCGGGTATCCTTTGCATTGCTACTGTAGTAAACAAAGCATGCTTACTTGCAACGTTGAAGGTTTTTCTGACAATCAAAACCGTCAAAGAGGCAGTCAATATTGTTGCATTCCATGTTGCATTTACCATCCCTAAACACATCCCAGCATTTTATGGCAGCAGTGCAGTTTATCCAGGGGTTGATACCTAGTTAGTAAAAAAAAAAATCAGTGTCAGTGCAGAAGAATCAAAGTGCACAGAAAATTTTTTTTTGTGACTCCTTGACGCTAGTGTAACAAATGGCCTCATGAAGCCTGAAATTACCTAATGAACAGTCTCCACCATCAAAGTCACAGGCATATGTGTTGCACTCTTCATCACAATGACGGTTGCCTGCCTTCTTCTCACACCGACGCATTGTGCACTGCTTCTTTTCTTCTTCAAGGGACTTCAAAAATAGGTCATAGAAGCCTTCTACAGGTGATGGCAGACTTCCTCTGTAGCCGCCATCATACTCTTCACAGCGAGGTCCTTTCCACCTGGCAGGGCAATCGCACTCTATCCTGCCACCTGCGACTTCTCTGCAAACGCCTCCATTTCGACAGGCCCCTAGTGTGCATGCACTCTTACTGAGTTCCTCTTCAATGATTTCACATAGGCTTCCAGACGTTCGATGGGGGCAGACACAGGAGTGTCCCCGACATTGACCTCCATTACGGCATGGCCACTTGTCAGTGCAGCTCTGGTTGGCACAAGTCTCACCACGGAAACCTTCTTGGCAGATGCAGATTGGTCCACGAGGTCCAGCAGCACAAATACCACCATTCAAACAAGGGTTTGATGAACATGGATCCATTTTTAGCTCACAGTGCCTACCAGCATGCCCAGGGCGACAGTCACAACGGTAATCATCAATTAGCTGGACACAGTCCAGTGTGCCCACAGGATCACACGGCTTCGAGAGACACTCATTGACGTCTCCTTCACACCGTGGTCCCACATATCCTGGCCTGCATTCACATTCATAGCCATTCACTCTATCAAGGCAAGTTCCACCATGATGGCAAGCCCCTTCAAAAGCATTCATTGACGTTGTGTTCACACAAAATGCCTACTGTCCCGTGACGGCAAGAGCAGGCAAATTTGTTGACAAGGTCGTGGCAAGTGCCTCCATTGTGACATGGATTAGGGTCACAGTCATTGATATTGTATTCACAGTTGAGTCCTTGGAAACCTTCTGGACAGTCACATTTGTACTGGCCTATTAGGTTTTGGCAGGTGGCTCCATTTTGACAAGGGTTGCTAAGGCATTCATTGACTTCACGTTGGCAATAGCTGCCTTCATAGCTTTCAGGACAGATGCAGCGATGGCTGTTCCCAACATCTTCACATGTGCCGCCATGCTCACACAGGCCTGTTACTTTGATACCTGCACACAAATAGCACTTTTCAGGTCATTTCCATATTTATAAAAAAAGGGGGGATTTTGCAACAGCTGGAACAACTGCAGAGACTGATGTTTATTTAATCATTTTGTTCTTGGGTATTGTAGTTTTATAAATTCAGACCAACCTTTTTGGGATGCAGCATCTTCACATGAGACCATCGATACGTCACAAAGCAGACCAGTCCAGCCAGGTTTGCAGATGCACCGATATGTGTTATTGGACTGCTTGCAAGTAGCTCCATTGAGACAAGGTGTTTTTGCACACCAATCGACCAGCATCTGCAACATAAAAAAAAATGCGGTCAGGATTACATTGACCTGACCAACCGCTTCATTTTGTTAAAAGAAAAGAAAAAGAAGGAAGCTATTAAAACTAAAAATAGCAATCTGTAGTACTATAGTGACATCTATAATAAAAGAATATATTTCCTTTGCACTACAGTAGTGCCAAAATTCGGCACTCTCCTCCAGCCAATAAAACACTTCATTATACTCTGTAAATGAGTTGGCAAAGTTTTTCATATATTAACTGCATGCCATAAAAGTGAATAATATCCAGAGTAACAAACAATTTATCTGAAGAATAACTGGCATTATTGTACACAATGTACACAAGCTCTTACTACTACAGTGTGTCACTTACACAATCAAAAACAGTCTCGGCTACTGAAAAACATTAGTCCAATATGTTGTAGCTCAGTAGTTCACGTTTAGCATGAAATTCAAGAAAACAGTGACGTGTCATCACCCACCTCACAACGAGGTCCTGTGTAGCCAAAGGGACAGTGACAGGTGTGGTATCCGATGTGATTGACACAAGTGGCTCCATGCGCACAGGGCTGGGAGTCGCATTCATTGATGTGGTACTGGCAGTTTGAGCCTGTGTAGCCTGGACTGCACTGGCAGGTATAGTTGTTCACACCATCGACACAGGTTCCACCATTCATACATGAACTGCACAAGAGAAAGCAAGGTACATAAATATTCTTGGCAGTACCATTCTTCAGGTGCAGTAAGATTTTGTCAATTTAAGCTCCGTTACAGATTACCTTTCTGAATGAATTTTTTAAAATTAATAACTAAAGTTTCACATGAACAGCACGCTAGATGAAATTGGCCTGCATGAATGCATACCCGATTGTCTAAACCATATCTTTTACACCCTCATTCACATCAGCCATTTCTCTCCCCCCCCCCCCCCCCGAACCATGCTACCCTACCCTATGACAAAGTGACAATACAAAATTTTGAGCTGCAGCCCCCACTATCATAGCTTCTAAGCTTTGCTTACTCTGTCTAAATAGATCAAATTAACTTGTAGCTTGTACAGCTTTAACAAATACCATAGCTCAGACACTATTAGTACATATTACGAGCTCAATTCTGAATTTAATTTTGCAATTTCAAGCCTCTCTTCACACTGCATTATTATGTGCATGACGTTTCATCACAAAGAGCTGCACTTTGAAGCCATTTGCTCACTTGGGCAACTCCTATTGCAAGCTTGTGAATGTTTCCAGCCATCTACTTTGTATCTCAAGCAAGTGGCCCCCAACCCCAAGGGTAAAAGATAATCGAACAAGATTTGAAGGCTTCCCCCTTGCTAGATCGCCAACCAAAATTTAATATAGTGGTAGAAAATTCTCTAAGAAGAATGCACACCTGTGCTTATAATAAAATGTTTTATTGCACACGCATGTATTTACTATTTTTTACTGAAGTAATAAGTGTCATAGTGTGAAATTTGATGTGTTATCACTGGGTCAGGAAAAAAATCAGTATTAAGGATATCATAGTTGAAATCAAAAAGAAATGGGCATCCGCCAGGCACGTGCGTAGTGTGTAGGCAGGATAACCGCTCGTCATCTTAAGGGTACCTGACTGGATTCCCAGAGAAGGCAAATGCACGAGGGGGAGATAGAAACTTAGGTGGGCTGATGAGATGAAAAATTCGTATAATGTGGCAGCAGAAAGCACAAGACCGGGTTGAGTAGCAGATCATGGGAGAGGCCTTAGCCATGCAGTAGGCGTAGTCAGGCTGATCATGATGATGAAAAGGCGGAAGAGCATTCTTCAAATGTTCCGACAATATGTTACCAGTCAGAATGCAGCCCCGAGGCACCACACTGTAAAAGCACTAAGAAATCGTGCACATGTCTAAACTCTCTGAACTTATGTTCCTAGGAATCACTGCTGCGAAATTCTGTTGTGCAGAACAGGTTGAAAACATGGTGGGAGTGAAGGGGAGCGCTTGCTCGTTTATTGGTACATATTTCAAATCGTCCGACAAAGGGAAGGGGCACTTGCTCAGGCAGGTGCTCTTGCTTGGGATTTTGCGGTGCTGTACTTTTCATTAGTCTGTCATTATCTAATTGCTATTGAGTTATGTGGCAGTGCGTACAAAATATATATGGCATTATTTAATAAATTATGTTTTCAGAAATAAGTGGCATATAAGTGCTCAGCTGAAGATAGCTGATGATTTCAAAATAATAGGATGTAATGAGCCCACAACATTCAATAAATTGAACCTTCATGTAACAGGTGGGCGTAACGAACAATTGCCTTAACATATTATCCACTAAAAAAAAAAAACATGTGGGCAAAGTCTACTTTAGTCTACCAGTGCTCTCATCTGAAGCACAATACTCAATGATGTTAAATTAACAAGTATTTGGATTACTTCTGAAGCCAATGTTTCAAAATAAGCACAGACTGTCCAGGTACCCTTCATATCTAGTTGATATGTCAAAAACGAGCAGGTTCTCAATGTTGGCTTCTGAATGATGTGCATTCTCTCTCTATTTGTTTGAGATTATTTGGTTAGTCATGCTTGTGTGAAGAAGAATCAAACAAGCATTACTAAATTTTGTCAGAACATTATGTAAGCTAGAACTTCTTTTTGTTTCTCTGATCATGATTTTTTTTTTTCAAAACCTCTTTAGCACCCCGAGCAGAGGCTAATGCAATATAATTTGATAAGCTTAAAATTATGGTATTAATATACACACACAGTAGCTGTTAAGAGTATGTTAATTAAAAGATTTTTTTTCTCTATAAGAAACCTAAATTATATATACACACACTATGGCCAGGTACCACTTATTGTAAGTACAAATGAACATTTTTGCCACACACATTTGGTTGAGGTTTATCACAACCACAAAGTGTGAATGTATGTGCCATCCTCATCCTAAACCAAGTATGTACTATCCTCAACCAAGTGCACGCAGCAAAAATGTTTGTTTGTTTACAGAACAGCTATATATTCTTGGCCCATATCTGAATTTTGCATGCAGAATACCTATGCGAATAGCACTCTATAACTGGTAGCATTATTACTAATGAAACTTAAGAGCTTTATATGTTAACTTCAGACTCATGCCCACAGAAAAATCTTTCTGCTGGAAGTAGTAGTATGTAAGCATGTGAAAAGTTTTAAATACCTAATCTAAAAGGAAAATTTGTCATTGGGCCAGCTAGTTTTATGCATACATTTTTGCATAAAATTATGAAGTGAGACTGAAGCAAGTATGCAAGCACAAAACGTGAAGTGTCTGCCCTATGTCTAAAAAGCCACTCTGTTGTTAGTCAAGCAAAACAAATATGTATTCAAAGCACTAAGAGTAAGCGAGTCTCAGTATGCATCTCTTGAACTAAATCGTGCCCTAGTCAACCTTTCTGTGAACTTGTGGCATTGAAGCTGGCATTTATCAAAGGCTGTCATGATTAATAGTGCAATTGTGGCAGAAATCAAGTGTTTTTAAAGCCTTCTTTTTCTCCTAAACAATTAAATTTATATTAAGAACAACCAACATTTGTATTTTACAGTGATGCATAAATCAGGTTTAATATAAATTGTGCTCAAAGAATTCGCACCCCATTTATACGCTCTAGTGCATATGAGAGAATTAAAGGCTTACCTTGACGTGCAGTCTTGGTCATTTGTTTGACAATTTGTGCCACTGAAGCCAGGCAGACATGCACAGGCATAGCTGTTGACGTAGTCATTGCATGTAGCACCATTGAGGCAAGGGTTGCTGGCACATTCATCGATGTCTTCTGAACAGTGCTTGCCACCAAAGCCGTCCACACAAAGGCAGTTGTACTCTCCTATTCCATCTAGACAAGTGCCTCCATTCTGGCAGGGATCTGTTCAAAGTGCAGGTAGCAAAGGTATCAAAAACTGTTAGAAAACATACTACAGTAGCCCTGTAGAAAGCCACATTAAGAACAATAATAATAATTTTTTAGCTAATCAGTATAATTTGTTTGCATAAATTGAGCTTATATTGCCATCTACAATGACAAATTTACTAGAAAACAACTCACAGGATGCACAGTCATCAGTGTTGATCAGGCAATCCCTCCCTTCATATCCTTTGGTGCAGGCACATTCGTAGGAGCCATTCGTGTTGATGCATGTGGCTTCATTGCGGCACGGTGATGACACGGCGCACTCATCAATGTCCTCATCACAAAGCCTGCCAGTAAAACCAAGCTTGCAAGAGCAGGCAAAATCTAGATAGTTTGAAGATGGCGAACACTGTGCCCCATTTCGGCACTTGTTTGGTGAACAGGGATTCAGTTCAACCTCGCATGTTGGGCCAGTGAAAGGCACTTCACACACGCAGCGGAATGTGCCCACTAAGTCAATGCAACTTCCTCCATTGCGACAAGGGTTCGGACTGCAGTCATCCAGGTTGGTTTCGCAGTTGCGCCCAGAGTAGCCTTCTATGCAGGCACATGAGTAATTATTCAGTGCATCATGGCAGCTCCCTCCGTGCTGGCATGGGTTAGACTGACACTCATCAATGTCTTGTTCACAGCGATGGCCCCCATAGCCAGGAGGGCAGTGACAGACAAAATGATTGACTTCATCTTCACAGGTACCACCATGCTGGCATGGGTTGCTTGCACATTCGTTCACATTGGACAGGCACCGAGCATCAAAGTAGCCACGAGGGCAGTTGCACTTGAAGCCGTTGATGAGATCAATGCAAACACCTCCATTTGCACAGGGGTTGCTGGCACATTCATTGATGTCTGTTTCACAATGAATACCTGAAAACAGACAAAATATCAATCATCACTCTTACTTTCTGTAGTAAGCTCTCATATGGGCATTATAAGTATATCAAGTTGGTTGTCAAAATTCTGATTCATGCATTAAGCTGCATATTTGGTTAAAATATGTTGACAAGTATGTTATTAGAAAAATTAATGCTGCACCAGTGGATGCATCTTATGTAAAGCAGAGTACAGCACAAAGTTAAACACTAAATACAAGTAGTGAGTATCAGAAAACTATAAACGAACACAAGGAATGATACTCGAAGCCATCTTGCACATAGGCATTCTTAACTTATCTTGCAGTCCTATGCTGCACACATTTATTCTTTTTCTTCTGTTAGAGAAACACATGCAATCTTTATATGGTACATACCTGTGTATCCTGGAAGGCACTCGCAAATATAAGAGTCGATTCCATCCACACATTTTGCACCATTTCGGCATGGGTTGGAAAAGCATTCGTTGACATTGAATTGGCAGTCTGGACCAGATGTACCACGACGACAACGGCACTGGTAGCCATTGACAAGGTCTTCACAAGTGCCACCATGCTGACATGGGCTGCTCAAGCACTCATTGATCTGGTTCTGACAGAGAAGGCCTGTATATCCAGGGTGGCAATTGCACGTGAAGGCGTTTGTGCCATCTATGCACTCTCCATGATGGCATGGAGAGGATTGGCAGTCATCCATATTTGTTTCACAATTACTTCCAGTAAAACCTGCAAGAAATAAATAAACCTGTCTAATAATGTTCAGATGGCTTCTATACAGTGCCTCTTTCTAGCTAATAACCAGTGCCAGTGTGCACTTCTTATAGATATTTGACATGGGTTAAGGCTGAGCACCTCTCTAAGTTCTCTTCCCAACATGGGCTGTAGTAATCTTGCATCTTAACTCATTCTATTCAGCATTTTGTGCATGCATATTTACAGTGTGATATGTTTAAGTTTAAGAATCTATGCATGTTTGTGATATGACCAGCAGTATTATATGGCTGTTCCGAGCACTTTCAGTAATTGTGCAAAAAAATAAGCTTGACCGTGTATCTTCATTTGCACTAACATCTGTCATCACATCACTACCCTCAGTCAGTGCCACATTAGATTATGAACCTGACCACTTTATCCCTGAACACTAACAACATGTATGGGTCATGCGAGAGACAGAATATTAACTAAAGTCTAGAGTATTCAACAACCTGTATGACATTTTGAGTCTGCAGTGAACACATCTACCTAGTAGTGTAGAGTGCACTAACCTTATAAACCTTGCTTTCATCTCAATAAAAGCTCATGTAAGAAACATTCTGGACACATTTTTATGCTATCTTCACATCAAAAGGTGTATGAGTGCATGAGTTTCAGTGCTACCAGCTCAGTGCAATCACATCAACATTGTTAGACTGCTTGCTCAATAATTGCTTACCAACAATGTGATACAATCATACACACACTATAGCTTGTAGGTGTTTCTACTGTTAGTTTTTGTTGTTAAAATCACATACCACTACATCTGGCTCATGAAAGCTGCTTCACAGCCATTAAAACTGTGGCCCTTAATCTTTGCGACATTTACACATTCAGTACATGAAATAAGCAATTGCTCAATGAGGGCTCATTGCATTTGAAGACATTATAATTAATAAAAATGGCAATAACCATCTGTATCAGTCAGCATGCACCCTTTGAGCTCTGGATTAATTTTGTGGAACACTTAAAACTTGATGACAACTGACAAAAAAACAACAAAAGAAACAGTAAATTACTGCTTTTAAAGCTGAAAAGCTGGCCTAAAATAGGAAACATACCAGGTGGGCAGTGGCAGGTGTAGCTGGCGATTCCGTCATGGCATGATCCTCCATTACGACATGGAAATGAGGAACAGTCATCTTCGTTGGTCTCACATTTTTTGCCAGAGAACCCTACTGGGCACAGGCACTGAAAGCCATTAATGCGATCACTGCATATTCCTCCATTCAGGCATGGGTTCGGCAGGCACTCATCTATGTCCACTTCACAGTGCACCCCTCGGTAGCCTGCATTCAAAGACAACGTGCATACATACTTAATAAAAGGAAGAGCCACACTTGCTTCGATAGTCGAGTTTTCCATTTACAGAAATACACAGTATACAGAAATACAGAGTATTCAAAGACCAATGACTGTCTGCACTAATATCGTTGCACTTTCAGTGTCAATCTTTTTCCGGATACAAATTCACATAAATAAAGTATCATATTGAACACACCGACTGCCACCTTCTACAACTTCACAATCATGTGACAATGTGGCGAGAAATTTCTGTATGGCAATTTTATTAGCATATATCCGGTGTTTTCCTAAAGCAAGTACAAGTGCAGGGGGGGGGGGGGGGGTCAAAAGTGCCTAAGCCACGCTACCATAGAAATACATAGGATAGTGGCCTGGGGAATTTTGACCAGCCCTGTACATGTATGTGCTTGTCAGTCAAAAGCATCTTCTCAATGCTAGTGTGCCAGCTCTCACAGAACTAAACTAGATATATTCCTAAAAAGATGTATTTTTTGGCTAGATACAGTGTGGCCCATCGTCACAGTAAAGGGCCCACACATTTAATCTACCCCTTATACCAAAATTTTTAACTTGAAATGTTGGTGTTGTTCCATTCTCCTGCATACATAGAAACCCCTGACTAAGTATCAGTGGCGAATGCAGGCTTGAACATTTATACTGTTTGAAAGTAAGCGCATGCGTCAGGCGCTGTTGGCAGCACCTTGCGACATTGTCATCAATATAACTCTTTAGAGTGGCTGCTGTGACACCTTGCGGCGTTTCGCTTGTTCCACAAGTATTGACGTTACGAAAAACACATTTGCGGTACGCCAACTACTCTGCTGACGGCACACGACGGGGGCCTATCTTCCAAGAGCTTGTTTGGTATGTCACATCACAACACCGCAGCTGAAACATCGTGTCATTATCATCTACTTTCAATGCCGCGGAAGTTCGTGTGCACGTGATAGTATGTCGCTCCGTCATCTGGGGGCGCTAGTTACTACAAATATATATATATTTTTTTCGGCGGGTGTTTTCAGGTCTTGCCAAAATTGATGAAAATTAACGACGCTACAAGTGATTATGCGCTACATTAAAATGCTTTAGATATTATTGCGTGACCATCGATGACCAGTATAAAAGTCACAAACAATAATTTGGCTGTCAGTGGTCTTTTAAAACAAGCTGTCGTCGTGTGTTTTTCAGAGAGAACCTGACGTTTGTGTTCGCGAAGGCCCAAGTAGTGTTCATAAAAAGATCACATCAACATAAGTGCGCTGCAAGAAGTGTGATTTCGTAAAATCACGCTCAATGCATTATGAGGAGCTTGACCGCTTATCATTTTTTCAAATATGACAACTCAAGTATTCGTAACGCAATGGTGCCAGTTCTTGTACGCTGAAAACACATTGAGCTTGCTCTCAAATATGAGATGAGACAAAGTGGTATATACATTTTTTTCATGGAACTACACTCTTTCATTGTTGATAATGCACTCAAATGATGGTTGTGCTTATCAGTCATAAAGACAAAAGGTAGGTAAGGGTCATTTAGTGGCACCTTTTATTTGTGATAAGTATATCATTTACATTACATTTAAATACTACTGCCAGTTTGCTTGCGGTGCATTATCTTATCTTTAATTAAGAATCAGTCGGGTGTGTACTAGACACAACACTGCAAGCCCCTCTTCTGCGATCGTGTTATGAATGAAATAGCCACCATGGGAAAACAGGAAATAGGTGTCTGTATTAAAACGCGGTTCAGCCAGTGTTCCACGGCTCCACGTGTTTGAGTGGTCGGACGCTGGACTGCCCGTCTCACGCCGGGTCGCGTACGCAAGTGCCCGTATCAGCATCATCTCCATTCTCACGAAAATGCTTGCCGCTGCGGCCTCCTTGTCTTGCGCGAGACTTTCTCACTCGCTTCTTGCGAGGGAAAGGCATAGGCGGGACCGCTCCGATACCTTTGCGTTTTTTACACACGCTACCCCGTTGCGCTGGCTCAAAGTAGACCTCTCTCGCCGCAGTCGGTGTACACGCGTTGGTCGGCGCGCTCTAATCCACCTCAATCGGGAAATTATCGAGCCGGACTTGTTTGTTATGCGCTTCTTTTCCCTCAAGAGTGTCCCTCCTCTCCATCGAAGAGACACAGCAGCCGCCGCCAAGGGTCATGGGAGTGGTCTTTCCCCGGCGGGCCTTGCTCGCTCAGCCCCACTTGGGGGCTGGGAACGCCGCAGCCCAGTTGCTGCCGCTGCTCGGAGGCACACTGCCGCCGCAGCATCCATCTTCAGCATTGCGCCCAACTCTCCTCCTCCGCATCTTTTGCCCTTGCTCACGCACGTGATCACCCCGCACACCCTTACCCTCTTCTTTTTCACACAGCCGCCGCGTAACATAACCGAGGAAGCAATGGAGAGAGAGCGCCGCGGCAGAAAAAAAGGGAGAAGGCGGCCTCAGGTAGAACGGCGCCAAGCAACCACCGCGGCCCCGTCCAAAAACGAAAAACCAGTTCCGTGCCTCTCTTTCTTGGGCATCTCGCGCGCGTGCAATTTTTCTTCGAAGCTACTGCCGCGGTATTGAGTGGCTGCTCTTGGCACGCAACATTCGTACTGGCTGCTCTAACGTTCACTTTTCTCGGTGATTAAACTAGGCCGACCGCTTGTGCCGCACACACTGAACAGACCAGAAAGCTCAGCCGAGGCATAGGTCTCATAGAATGTTTTGCTACCTTTCGAAAATCAGACGGGAAATCAAGTGAAACCGATTTTTCAATGCACGTGAGGAACACAATGTAGACGGTTCTAGTTGCTGCCTCACTGAGGGCGCGCCTAAACAGTACCGACGTTTGGTGTTCAAGTAACCAACAAGATAATAAAAAAATGTACCCTCGATAGAAATGTACGTCATGATTGCTTCGACAATTGCTTGTCAGCGGTTACCTTGACTCGCTCTGCGGTGCGTTAGCTGCATCCCGTGAACACTCAGTTCAACTAAGCTGATGGTTTTTGCGCTGGCTATCACGGAATACTGACGCTGAGAGGCTTCTAATGGCATATCTGGTGCTTTATAGGCAGAGGAAAGTGTGCTCGAAGATCGCGCGTGTGGTCGTTCACCTCGATCGTAGCGCACCATGCCGTCATGCGGTGCCGACCACGTTGGTGCGACCGACGCAATGCAGGCCCGAGGTCATGAATTACGACGGAGCGCGAAAACATCTGCACTGCGGTCCGTGCACGGGGGCCTCTTGCGCGAGACATCTGCGCCCGAAGGAGGAGGCTACCGCCAGTGGTGCCGGCACTTCCGGTCGGTTCTGGCAGGAATGAAAGGCCGCCCGGAGAGGAGGTGCAGATCCCTCGTCGTTTTCCCATGCCCACGGGAGCTTCGGCCAGGTGCACGGGGCCTTTTTCAAAGAGAGGCGCCGCTCGCTTTCTGTCGACTCACGATTGCGCCGCCCGCTTCCTTCGTCTTCGGGAACACTAGAGCAACCCTCCCCCCACCTTGTAGATGCACGCTCGCAGGGTCTGTAGTTTCCGGTATTTACCAGTCATAAACGCTCACATGTCGATTGCAATATATTAGAAATTTTGTTTATGCCGAAGACAGCGCTACACGGTGGTCGCGGCAGTGGAAGGCAAGCAGCTGGTCGGTGCATTGGCTGCAGCCGCTCGATAGCAGGCTAAATGCTAAGCATTGCCGAATGTTGGGCAAGCATACTTAGCGCCAACGGACGGAAGACATAAGGGCTCCCAAACATATCGGGGACTGTTGTCGGGGGATATAATTGCTGAATTTAGCGCATTGTGTTGTCACGGTCTACCTTATGTCTTCGCCCTTTGGCGCTAAATATATTTTCCGAGCTTAAAGGGGCTCAAACACTTCGACTCATTGTAGCCTGCTGAAACAGTCTCTGAAAACCTACATGCTTTTTAATTTAATGAAGAGACTCATTAAGCGAAAAAAAAAAAAACCAAGGTTGAATGATAATTTTGCTCCCATACCTCGGTACGATGTAAGTGATCTTTTTTTTTTTTTCATTTGACCTGTCCTGGCGTCCTCGGAGGAATATTGACCCTCTTAGAACAAACAGTATAATGTCCTTGATTTCTGACAAAACCTAACTAGGCCCCAACAAACAGCATCGCAATAAATATGACCTCCCGGTAAGCTGGTGGATATTGCGATCCATCTTTTTCTCTTGCGCCAGTCTGGACTAGGCACGGTAGCTAAGTGCGCAAGTCAGTCCGCCTGCATCTTCAGTCGCAGCACGAACTATAGAACAAGGACCATGCACAGTGAAGGCATGTGCTTATTTTCATTGGTATATATAGGAGAATCATAATTAAGCCTTACCGCTCAAGTAGGGGTGCAGCCAAGATTTCATTTCGGGAAGGGTCCAACCCCTCTACACGAATGCACGTGTGCTTCCATCTCTCTTTCTTTGGCTGCGCCTGTGAGCTCATGCTATGTGCTCTTACACTTCAATGCTGCAAACACACGAACCAATCTCCTCATAAAATTGCTGTGCACAATTAACTTCCAGCATACGAGGTCAAGAGTTGAAAATTGCGTTCGTAATTTTGCCCCCTGCTCCGAACTCCTCCTGGTGGTTTTCATAACGCATACTGAGACCGATGGATCTGCTTATAATATTGCTACGTGCCAGTGCATGGAGACCAGTGGATATTAACCAGTGGACAGGGGCAGGTGGGAAACGGATCGCCAAGAAAAAAAAATAATAATTAGGGGCCGAGTTCACAAAACGTTTCTATCGTAAGTTCGTATGCACGTACACATCCGACATAGTGATCGTCTGAAATATTCTATGCCGTTTTTTTAAGCGTGAGACGTTTTTGTTAATACGGGCCCGGCTGCTGAGCACGTGCAAGTTACTTGTAAGAAAATACTTTAATAAGCACGTCGAATCCTGATATATAAAATATTAGAAAATCCGGATGTTAACCTGAGCGCATTCGCGACAAAGCGGCAAAGAAGTTACTTGCACGAACGCAGCTGCACACATGACAGCTTCTACCGCAACGCACGAGCGCTGGATTGCACGAGTTTTCCAACACTGAGTGAATAAGCTCCTGTGCTACATATGCATTTTTACACAACATTAAATACTTCAGGCAAAAAAAGCGAATCTGTGAATTGAAATAATGATTTCTGGGGTTCTCCGTGAATAAACCAGTATGTGATTTCCAGGCTGCGGTGATTACCTTTTACCACCTGGGATTTACCACCTGGATTACCTTTTACCACCTGGGCAGGCGATTTCTGCATTTGACCCCCATTGAAATGCGGTCGCCGTGGATGGAAATCGAACGCGCACCCTGATGCTTAAGAGAGTGACGTCATACTTAGCGGCTAAGCCACCATGGAGGACGTATTAGCTCCAGCGAGCTGCAGCGCTTTCTTAGATATGCTGATTTCGGCGCTCGACAAGGTTGCGGTTTCAAGCACAGAGAGAGCGCAGCCGGCTGCACGACAGCGTTCGTTCGAACGAAGTGTTCTTGCGTAAGCACAACTCTGCGAGGTTGGGTCAGAACGGGCGCTCACAAAGCTGTTCGTACGCAAACGCGATTCGGGCCAGAATTCACAGCCTGTCCAAGTTTCCTTTAAGCAGGTGACAACGTGGGCAGTACAGTGGAACTGCGCTCACGTGCAGCGGCACCGCCGGAATTACAAGGTGATGATGCGCATGCGCGACTGGTCGTACGCTCCGTGGCCCGCGGTGCTTAAGCGCCAGCGAGCAAGAACTGCCCATGGCCGTACTACTATGGCGGTACCTTTCTCACGTCCTCCCTGCGCCGCAGCGTCTTCTAGTTTTCCCGATGCTCCTCGTTTTCTCACAGCGTGCGCACTCGACTTGAAAGAAGAGCTTGCATCTTTTTTTTTTGTTATTTTCTTTCTTTCCCTCGGCAAGTGTGTTCATACACATGCGTCGGCGCGCCGTAATCGCATTTGCGCCGCGGCTTCAGGCAGAGTGACGCGAAGTGGCGAAGGAACGATTATTTCTTCGCGTGCTCTCGACGTGGGAAGACTGCTCTGGGAACGACTCGGGAGAGAGCTCACGCTGCGGTGCGGTAGTCCGCGCTGTTTTGCTCCCAAAATTTTACTGGATCTACGACGTGCGCGTTTGTTTAGCGCGTAAGGCTTGGCCGTATCTGGCTGCGTGTCGCGCTCAGAAGAGGGCGCGACGCGTGCATGCGTTCCCTTATCTTCTGAAGTCGACGATCTCTTACGCGTCTCATGATCAGAGTGTGTAAACGGTTTTTGTTTCATGAAGGAAAGAGTACGGTGATAAAATTTTTGGATTCAGCTTTATTGAACGGCGAAGTCCCTGAACAGTGCCTTGAAATTACCTTAATCACACGTTAGCTGCGCGGGACGTCTCGGACGCTTGCTTTTAGGCGTAAAGTTATGCATTTGAGTACTAATTCTACACTTGCTGTGTGTATTGGTGTGATTCCATTGCATTGCACTCCGTCGAAGAAAACTGCCAGTCCGGCCTCCCCTTATCTTCAACGTACTTCAGGCCAGTTTTTTGTGATCCAGAAGAGGGTGACACCTGTTATTTTATTTTTTGAAAGAATTATACTTCCTTAGTGTACAGGGCACGTTTCAGAAGGAAGACAGATATGATGTATATTTCTTTCAAAAATGCGATAGCAACCAGCCCAAGTAGCCATTCTTTTACCCGTTCTTACGCAGCTGATCGACTCATCCTCAAGCAGTGCGTGCTGCCTTCGGTGGCAAGCTGTCGGTAGTAGCCCTCGCACGATACTCGTCTTGAACCTTCTTCATTTACGTCCACCTAATAGACGGCGTGGCCAGCTTGGCCGTCCGAGTTCGACCATTATAAGAGGTCCGATTGACAGGGCGCAACCTCCGGTGCCTTCGCCGAATAACGGAACCTTCCCTTCCGGGCCGTTGCGTATATACAAAAACCTTTTGTGGTTTTTAGTCACTCAGCTGTGAACTTGTGCTCGCCATAGGCGAAGCCACCGTTTGGCTTTACCTATGGTGTGTGCCTATGAAATTTTCGTACGTGAGTCGCCTCGCACACTACTGCAGCTGTTGAAGCATCTATTCCGCCGTGCCCACCTTCATGATTGCCCCGCCGCGGCAGTCTAGTGGCTGAGGTGCTAGGCTACTGACCCGCAGGTCGCGGGATCGAATCCCGGCTTCGGCGGCTGCATTTTCAGAGGAGGCAAAAATGCTGTAGGCCCGTGTGCTCAGATTTGGATGCACGTTAAAGAACCCCAGGAGGTCGAACTTTCCGAAGCCCTCCACTACGGCATCTCTCATAGTCATATCGTGGTTTTGGGGCGTTAAACCCCACATATCAATAAATCAATTACCTTGATGATTGATGCGGCAGAAATAAGTAAATAAATAAATCGCAGAAATTTACATGCCGAAACCTCATGTGGTTATGATGAATATGGATAATTTCAAACCACCCAGTACTACCGATTTCTAGGCTTGCGAGAAGTTTTATTTTCAGTCATTTTCACGAATCATCCTCCTACAAAGAAAAAACGCAGACACCGAGCAAGGAGAGTAGCTAACGAGGAGTGAGGCAGATCTTTGAACCAGGGCGAATGAAAATCAACAACTACAAGCAGAAGTGCCTCCTTCCGTAAGTTATTCACATTCATGCAACTGTTTACAGCTGCAAACAGAAGAGAAAAGTACCACGAAATAATTTTGCACCAGTCCATCTTCTATACTCCAACTGCAGTTAATATTATCATTATTATTATTATTATTATTATTATTATTATTATTATTATTATTAATTATGATGTTCTATTTTCATTCTTTACATCTTGCATTGATTTCTTTTTGTCTGTGCATTTTCGGTTTCCTTATTTAATTTCTTTTCTGAAGACAACCTGTATTGTACTGTTTATTTTTATTGTTTTATTTTGCTTGTGCCTACACAAAGACCTTATGGTTGTTCCTGGGCAGTCAGATAAATGAATTATTAATATTATTATTACTATAGACGTTCTTTTTATTATTTTTTCAACATGCACACGATATCATTTTAAAGAGAAAGCGTCCACATTCTGCTTTCATTACCTATAAAGGAACCTCAACGTATTTTACGAAAGCAGCAGTGAACTAGCTTTTTCTGTGACTCGAGGATAGCAAACAAAGTTGTTAACAGCTTCTGTGAATGACAGTTGTTCAAGCATATATGCAAGTTTTCCTTTTATTCATAACGAGGCATAGTATTTGCTTTAGGCTACATATACGGTATCATTTTGTGTGGGCCGTCCAAAAGTGAATGATGGCAAGGGCACTGTATCCAGCATTCCATGTCTGGAAGCTGAATACATGACCCTTACCATCGTTCGCTCTTGGCCCATATAAACTACATGAGCTTTGTTTTCCATGAAAGCTAGCTGCTCGCTGTATCTAATGCAAACATCAACACTGTCCAAACACCAGATGAGATGCTGACGTCGTCATAATGGCTGAGCAGGGACAAGGTCTGTTCCTGCTGAGACCGATGTAGATGACATAAGCACTCGCAGCACGAGCAACAGAGGCCGCTCGCAACCCTGGGGCGTACTCACCGGGCATGCAGACGCAGCGGAAGCCGCCGCGCTCGTCCAGGCAGGTGCCCTCGTTCTGGCAGGGGTTCGAGTCGCATTCATTGATGTTCACCTCACATCTGGGCCCGGCGAAACCACGGGTGCAATTGCAACGGAACGAGCCAGGTGTGTTGACGCAGAGACCCTGGTGTTCACAAGGGAAGCCCTGGGCGCACTCGTCCACGTCTTCTGTGCAGTCGACGCCCTGGAAGCCGTTGGGGCATGAACAGAGGTACGTGCCGTCGATGGGGCTTGTGTCGCAGATGGCACCCGCGTGGCACGGATTGCTGGCACACGCGTCGTCCAAATGACACAGCAGTCCCGTCTTGCCGGGGGCGCACTGGCAGTAGAAGGAGCCGACTCGGTCGTGGCATGTGGCACCGTTGAAGCACGCAGCCACAGCGCAATCGTCGATGTTTTCTGAGCAGTCCGCGCCCGTCCAGCCGTTCACACAAATGCATGAGTAGCCACCTATAGTGTTGGTACACGTGGCGCCATTCTTGCACACGCTGGGCCGCAGAGCACATTCATCCACGTCCTTGGTGCAGTACGGCCCCGTGTACGTGGGCGGGCAGTGGCACGTGTACGAGTTGACGCCATCCAGACAGGTGGCGCCGTTCTGGCACAGGTTTCCCGGACAGTCGTCCACGTTCGTCTCGCAGTTAGTGCCTGTGAAGCCTGCGCCAGAAAAAAAAAACTTGTAAGCGAGGTCCGTATCGCGACGAGAATAGTGTTCTAATTGAGCGACTTCTTACCGGGAGGGCAGGAACACTGGTAGTTGAGCGAGTCGATGGCCCGACACGTTCCGCCATTCATGCAGGGACTGGGCTCACACGGGATATACTGAGATTCGCAAAACTGTCCTGTGTACCCGGCTTCACAAACGCAACTGCGACAAGAAAAGAAACCATGCAGAATTAAGAACCGTGCCTCCTGGAAGCTTTACACAAACGCACGTGCCGCATCATACCGAGACCTACCTGAAGGAACCCTGGGTGTTGAGGCATGTTCCATGCATACACGGTCTCGTCTGGCACTCATCCACGTCGACCGCGCACGAGGCTCCGCTGTACCCCGGAGCACAGATGCACGAATACGAGTCCTCCTTGGACTGACAGCTACCGTAATTCAGACACGGCTGCGAGGCACAGTGGTCGACCTTGTCGCAGTACTTGCCTGCATCAACGGGTAAGCCCAGATCAGATTCACTGATGTCCAGTCCACACTTAGATCAGACTCACTGATGTGCAGTACACAATTACTTGCTGTATGTAATTTCCTAAATGGCTTGACAACCGGCCGAATTGTGCCGCAAAACATTTGTTGAAGTAAAAATATCGTGAGTTATAGTAATAGAATTGAGCAAGGAGTTTCCCTTGTACGGTCGTTGGGGGCCAAGAGCAGACGGCCACGTCAAACTATTACGGGGCTGCCGATATGATGATGGCAGGGAAACGAACACAGCGACTGCGCGAGATGTCTGAGCAAGAAAATTACCAGGAGACGATCGGTGTCGTCTGTCGCACAAACAGTTAAATAAAGAAGGCAACCAACATAGTTTTCTTGTGGGAGCATTTACAGAGACCTCAAACCAGCACTGCTTCTAATGCTATCCAGTAGGTAAGAGCCCGATTTCGTGCGTGAGCGCGGCATAGATGTCCGTCAAAATGAATCTATGGTCGTGACAAGAGCAGCTATGTGTTTTATGGCAAACTTGTAAAAGCTCGCTCGAAGATAAACCAGCATCCCTGAAAATTAGAAAGAAACCGTCAGTTTTCGACGCATTTATTTTAGAAAAAACTTCGTTATGTGAAATTTTAGGCGGTTCAGTTTCTTGATTGAAGACAACACTGAAACTTACAGGTACCTGACACGGAATGGAAATTTTGTTCTTATATCCACAAAATTTGGTTGTTCCTTTATGTTTAGGAGAAGATGGAAGCTTAAAAGTGATGAGAAATCTTTATACAGGTAGTCTTGCTGAAGGCAACGTCGAGACTTGAAGACTTGTATTCACAAGGTCAACGGCTGCCTCTCTTAGCCGCCCCGACGAAGGCCTTTTCTCAAAACGTTTCCTCCAGCGACATTCCCTGGTAAAGCTATTTTCTAACGACGACTTTGTCGCCACTCACCTCGGAAGCCGTTGGCGCACACGCAAGTGTAGTTCTGCAGTGTGAGCAGCTGGCACGTGGCCCCGTTGTGACAGGGCTGCGAGTCGCAGGCGTTGGGCACCTTGATCTCGCACATGGTAGCCGAATAGCCCACGGGGCATCTACACGAGAACTTGGGTCCATTTGTGACACTCATCTCCACGTTGCACGTACCGCCGTTCTGGCAGCGGAAACCCGGGCCGCCGGTGTGGCACGGATTGGCGTGCTGGCAGTACTCGCCCACGTAGAGAGGAGGACAGCTGCGAGACAAGAGAAATGTGGCATCGATTAATATCATGGGCTTCCACTAAGTTCGCTGTTTGTGCTTACAAAGAACGTGGCATGGCCAGGCAACTTCTACCGACGGCGCTACATGCCGCGAGAAACGTGACAAACAGACATGGTGTCCTTGCCATTCCCGCCCTGCACTCGGGGAGAAAAATTCGATCTGCTTATTTCACCTCGAAGCAATTAGGAAGTACCCTGACCTTCTTCTTTCCTAAATGGTATTCAGGTGGCCACGTATAGAAGGTGCAATCCGAATTGAGATTTTTGGAATGTTCTCAACTGCCCTCCTACGGATTCGACAGAAGATTATTTCTGTCGCGTTTGCAGACAATGCTCAACGCTTCCAGCGCCCCTAAGTATAGACAAGTTGTTGAGCACTGCGAATTTGTGCACGTTTCGCGGCGGCGGCGACTGGCAAGGACGAAAAGCGTAATGGGGGCTTTTCCGTTCATCGGCGACGCGATCAACAGACTCCCGCTGCATGCCTTGTCGGTTCACGAACAACGAGCCCATGGTTGTGCACCCACGGGGACCGAACCCGGCGAAAGTCACCGCCATGTCGATTCCATAAACCGCCACCACCCCAGCTTTCATGCTCGCGTTTCGCTCAGCAAGTCGGCTGCGGGACCTTGCGATGCTCGCAAAATCACAATAGATGCAGCGGGCCGGTGAGAGAGAATGTGTGAGGGGAAGGGGCCCGACAAGTTCAAAAGGCTCGGGGCGGAGTTGTTCGCTTTGGTACTGGACCCCGCTTGCCTCTCGCCGATGCTTCGCTTTTCCCTTTACTTATTTTGTCTGCAGCGAAGGTTCCGTCGGCGTGCACGACACTGCAGAGAGTTGCTGCATGCCAGTGAACGAAACTTAACACTATCGCGAGTTTTGCCGACTTGTCTTGTTTCTCCATTTGGCGGTGAACCTGACGGCTTTACTAACGCCATATTTCATACAAGACAAACCACAATGCGTTCATACAGCAGGTAGCAGACGTGTACAGCATTGTGGACCGTCATTTTATAGATGATTTTAACAACAGTAATAAGACTGAGGTGAATACTATTAGCGCTCACGCCGCCTGATTTGGTACTGCAACACGACGAAACCGGTTGGTTGCTCGTGTGCCGCGGCGTCGGTTGTTTCGACTATGCAATGCGAAGACGGCGCGCAACGATTGACTAATAAGCGTCTGGCTAGCGGCTAGGTAAGGACTCGTGGCGCCTACTGGGTGTCCTTTGTGCAGAGCCTAAAAAAATATATATATATATTCGTTTCGATGATCGAGCGAGCGCTAAGTCGCCTCGGACAGGGCGGCCCCCAGCTGCCGTCGTGGCGCGTCTGCCGAGTAACGATGCGGTGTGGGGAAAGGAGGGCGGATTTCTCGTCGAGCTCACTGCGGGGGACCCCCGGCGCCACTTGCTTAATCCGGCCAGGAATCCTCGACCATCCCCGAAAATAAATGGATATTTGCCAGGGGATTAGATCAGTTCACCGGTAGCCGTGACGGGGGCTGCTGCAGCGGAGGCCAATCGACCATGTTGTTCTCGGGCGTCTTCGAGGCACGTGCGGCCCAGCACTGCCCTTTCGCGGTCTTCGTCTGAGGAGACCTCACCCCGCTGCCTCGAAAAGGCGCGGGTCGCTTGAGTGAATACGGCGAGGAAAAGGCGCTACTGTAGCAGCCCCGGTAAAGACAACTGTAGAGAAAAAACGTCTATTAGCAGCTGCCGTTCAGCCAGCCGCCACGCTCTCTCGATCCGCTGTCACTTGCAGTTATCAGCGCCATTGATTTTAGCCTTTATTAAAAAATGAAAGCGCAAATTGAAAGAAGGCCTACATTACATTATATAGGTTAAATCAAGGTACAAGTTGTGATGCGTTGATTGATTCGAGCAGTTCTTGCGGTTAAGTGTATCGGGAGATTAGAGCGCGCGTAAAATTGTGGAAGAAGCCCAGACGATTATAACTAGTCAGAACAAGGAGCACCCGTATGATTGGTGCACCAGAATCGTTCTAAAGAGAAAACGTCAACCAATTGTAATGTAGGGCATACCATTAGCGAAGAGAGAGAGAGAGAGTGGTCCGACCAATGGGCGATTCACACTTACAACAAAATCTCTTTCTTTGTGTGTGCGTTTCAGAAAGAGAGAGATCCGCGATGAAAGCAACACGCGCACTTTGGTCTCTTTCTGACAAAAAGAAATCAGTATTCTAGAATTTCTGTGCAACTAAATATCAGTCTATCCTAATCCGAGCACATGTCAATACCGAAGCCAGCCAGCCAATAGCAAGCAACAATGGCTCCTGGTTTTCAGCAGTGACTGTATACCAGCAGAGCAACAACGCTGCTCTTAAAAATGTTCCGATTGGGCATTTATGCAACAGCTGTGAACCACTCGAATAACTCACTTCAGGTCCGGAGGACAAGGAGCAAAAGAGCTTCTTGAAATATTTGATGCGCGTACAGTTGCAGTTGAAGTTGCATACGCCCTCAGGCAAGTGCGACACAATCGGTTCTTATTTTGTTTGTTTGTTTGTATCCTCTAATCCATGGCTCGTACCCACTCTGGGGAATTGGCCAAGAGAACACATAGTCTCATATGCACGATAACTGCATTATTGCTTACAACGAAAAAAAAAGGGCCGGGGGTTGTATAGTGAAGACAGTATGTTAAAAAAAAAGAAAGAAACCAAAGATTTAGATAGTGAGAAAAAAGAATCAACAACAAAGTAGACACTAATAGCTACAACTTGATTTTGGGAGCCGACAAGACAGCTGGTTTTGCCAAACCCGATTAATTTGGTATGTCACGGAATTATCCAGAATTGGAAATTACTTTTCGACCCGTTTTTTTTTTTTGAGTATCTGTTAACGTGGGCTTTATGTTGCAAAACGTTTAGAGTCTTGAATAAAATTACACACCGCATCGAATGCATCTCTGTGGCAATTTCCCAAAACAGAGGCACCAAAACTTAGAACATTTTCTGTGGTTAAATTTAAACCTAGCTTCGCAAATGGAATATCGGTTCTGAGACTGAGACACTTCAACCTCTTCTATGGCTAGAAGCGTCCTCTAGTCGACACTGGCACCAACACCTACGTAGCCCCTTCGCGCAGCTCGCATCATCTACACGGTACTGCGCTAGCGTCTTATCTACTGACAAAAACGGTCACTAGTAATAAGTGGATGGATGAAACGGCGGATGACCAAGAGGAAATTTTCGTGCGGATATCTTGTTGACGAAAAAGTAATGTTGGTACATTGGAATCATTTTGTAGTTGATAAATCCACACGTGCGTTGCGTAATGCTGAACCTTTTTTCAGAAACAAGAAAGCAACGACGCTGAGCTGCACTTCAAAGCTGTTGATATCCCATGTAAGCCTCGTCGCACAGACGACGTCACTTCCACATCAATCTCCTGTGATTGCAAAAGATGCCAGCAGGTGTCTCGCTTTCTCGTAAGAAATGTCATCGAGTGTCACCACGCATTCAATTTGTTTTTGCTCGCCGAAGCTTCGACGTCAGTGTGCGTAGAGCAGGTGCGCGCAGTTGGATCTTAGGCGTCATCGCTTTTTCGTGGCCGATGCGAGAGCTTTTTTGTTTTGTTTTCTTCTTTTTTTATCTGTGCACGCGAGTGTAAGCGACTATTGATATTTCGGAAATACGGTAGGTCCACAGAGTAGAAAGTTGGGCAAATTAATTGGCCAAGATGGACCACAGCGTTTCAAGCAACCATGACCGTGCCATGATTGTGGCATCTTGTTCGGGTCAAAACATTGCTGAGCTGACCGGACGACGTCGGGCGTGAAAAGGGGACAGCAGAAGGCCTGTTATCTGCGTTCCTCACAACGGCGCTGTATAAACGGGTTAGCTTAAGCGCTTGAGCGACGAAGCTGCGCATTAGCTGCACCTGTAGACTATATCCTTGCCACGCACTAAATGCCCAAGTTCATCTTTCCCTCTTTCTTTCTCTACTCTATCAGCCAATCCTCAGTGTTAAATGTAGTTTATTTTCAAGAAGAAGAAATGCAAGAAGTAATGCTGTATGTTCGAAGTATAAAAGACAGGCTTAACGATATGCGCTTGCAGATGCAGCAACTGGTGTGAATGTGTATGTCTCGAAGTAGCACGCCGACATTCTTGTCCCGGAAAGAACAGCATCCCCACTTAAGGTAGCCGCCTGCCAATGCTGCGTACAAATTGTGGGCGTTGGGGTCCCATGAATGGGGCTCTAGATTGCTGCCTATTCGGTGCGCGGACAGGGGGGAAAAATGCAACGCCGGAATCCCGCAGAGCCTGTGCACACACACTGAAACGAGGCGCTCGTCGACACCGCGCCCCCACGTGGAGCAGTGGGAGGAAGGTTGGGGTGTAGGAAAACAATTTGGGAGCAGTGCGGATGCTCGGGAAGAAACGCTTTCTAGCCGCTACCCTCGGGCGACAGCGGTCGAGGGGAGCACCCACGTCCGGGAAGTGAGTGCTCGCCGACAGAGCGAAGAGGACTGGGGAGCTGGTCGCCTTTCTTTCCTGGGGTACATCCGAACGACTCAAGAGAGTTCAGTTTCTTTCGACGAAGAAAATGCTCGGGCTTACCACCAAGAGCTGTGCACTTTTGAAAATGACGGGAAACGAGCTGCTTCCCCGCTTACAAGAGCGCTATTCCGCCCTGGGCGATGGTACAATACATGACACAACAAAAGCTAGCCAGGCGAACTGCAAGTGCTAACGCGCTGCTTGACTACATCACATTTAATGTAAGGCATAACGAAGGCGGTGGTGCTTCGGTGTGTTGTGATGTACCCGCGTTGCCATTACAGCCAACGTACTCAATGCCATTTGAACTCTGAACCTTTCTAAGCCGACGGAAAAGGAAAAACACGCATATCTGTCGCTTCTATGTGTGTGTGTGTGTGGTGTGTGTGTGTGTGTGTGTGTGTGTGTGTGTGTGTGTGTGTGTGTGTGTGTGTGTGTGTGTGTG